TCTCTCTCTCTCTCTCTCTCTCTCTCTCTCTCTCTCTCTCTCTCTCTGAGAGAACATTGGAGTTTCCAGAGAAAAAACAAATGAAATAAAATCCTGATCAGAAGGAACATAGTTTTGCTTGCGTATAAAAATAAATAAATACATTTAATGTAATGTTTTACAATTCAACATTTTTTTTATAAATTTGTTTAAATTTTTTACGAACTTACACATCTTATTTTGCTTTTTGCAAGAAGATTTTGTACGATTATTAACCCTTTGTAGGATAATCAAATTCTTTCATGATATATTACTACAATAAATAATTGTATAAGTACATCGTTGTATCACTTGCTAACAGTTGATTTATATGAACGAAGTAAATCTCAATTGAAATAGAATAGCGAAACTGTAATTTGCTATTAATGATATATATCCAATACCTAAGCATTTCATTGCTATGCTCGTTATGTAAAGTTTTTTGTAGTATATACTTATGATTTGTGTATTATATAATTTTATACTTTGAACTTATAAAAACGTATTTTACGATTAATAAATATGGTCAAACAATGGAGGTTACGATTAATACCGTATATAAACTGTTTTATATTTTCTGAATCTAGTCTGTCAGCTTGGTCTTGATCAGTTTATCCTCTTTCAATTGCCGGCATGCATCTGTATACATATATATATATATGTGTGTGGATTGTCTGACGCGTGGTTAACGTATTTTTTTCCGAAAAAAAGATCATCAATTTCTTTGTTATTGACGAATTATAAAGAAATACCGTTTAAATTTTACTAAAATGATAAAATACTTACGTTACACACGTAGTTGTCATGACATCCGTGAATAATGAATGTGCAAAATTTATGCATCTTGTACACAATTTATAAAGAAAAATACCGAAAATAACGGTGTATTGATATAATTACATCATCTTAATTGTAGGTTCGTAACTTTTCTCTTATTAATGTGTATATAACGAGGTAGTAATCATATTAGATCATTTTTTGTATACATTTTGTTGATGTATGCTATGTTTACAGCATAATGAATCATATAAATTTAATTGCTACTACCATTGGTGTAACAGTTGGTGTCGTAGGTGCAGCTAGCATTTTTATTTATCATTACATGTTGAATAATCAACAACATAGTACAGGAAGTACTAGTTTAGATGCCGCACATAAAAGGATTGCTGAATTGCAAGCAGAATTGGAAGCATTAAGGTAATAATTTATTATATTAAATGTTTATCTGTATATGAAAAAATAGTTATAGTATCTTTTGTATTTTTCAAAGGTTACAGCAGAGTCAACAAAAGAAGAAACGAAAAATTTCACGAAGATTTGTTTCTAATGATAGTACTTACACTGTAACAGATGAGACCGATACAGATGCTTTTTCAACAGCAGATACAGAAATTGGAGACGATGAGTTCTATGACTGTTCTGATAGCGAAAGTGTTATCGCTGAAAACGAGATAAGGTTAGTTTTAAAAATGTAAATATATTTAATGTAAATGTGTTAAACTTATATAAATAACACGGACGAGAATTTGTAATTTATTCTAGTACAACTGTGAATCTGCTTCCTGAAGAAACATCTTAAGAATATTCCAATTATACTTTTTAATTCGTTATTTAAGTGTAATTACTTGTAATAATTTGGAAAATTAGAGTTTGATCATTTTCGGAAGTAAAGTTATTCAAAAAGTGTAGAAGGAAGAGATTATATGTTCAGTAATACAGGATCTCAGACGAGTTGAACCACCTGGATTTAATACTTAAGGAGGTTGATGAAGCTGCAAATGGAGATTTTGATATTGAGACTTACTCTAAATTACAAACTCTGGTAAACTTACACCAAGACGATGTAGAGGTAATATGGAGGTTTGCAAGGGCTTGTTATTATCACGCAGAAGCTACAGCTGATAAAAGTATTAGAAGGACGATACTTCTTGAAGGTCTAGTATTAGAAATACATGAATATTATAGCATAACAGAAATTAAAATTGTCTTGTTATTACAGGAATTGGACATTGTGAAAGAATTATTGAAATTCCAAATGCAGAGTTGTTTAAATGGTATGCTATACTCCTAGGATTAAATGGAGATTACTTGGCAACTGCAGACAAAATAAAAAACGGTGATCGTTTTAAGAATTATATTATGAAGGCCATAGAGATACATCCAGATGACTGTGAATTGCATTATCTCCTTGGTAGATTTAAATATGAGATAGCCAATTTAAGTTGGTTTGAAAGAAAGGTAAAATATTAAATAGTTCTACTGTGTTTAGAACGTAGAAAGAGTAATCTTTGAATACTCTTAAAATTGTCTTTTAACTTTCGTAGGTGGCATCAACATTGTTTTCTGAAATTCCAAGTGCTTCACACGATGAAGCACTCGCTTGTTTTGATACAGCAATAAGACTGGGAAAAAGATCTCTGCAAATTGATTTGTTTATCAGCAAATGTTATATCGCTTTAAAACAATATTCGCGCGCAGTTAATTCTTTAAAGGGAATATTGGATCAACCGGTAGTGGCAGCTGGAGATGAGAAAGTACATGCGGAAGCAAGTACACTTCTCAACAAATATTCAGGATATATTTCATAGCAAACAATAGCGTATTTGTACATCCGATCCGTATTTAATAATCATCATCCTATTCTGATATATACATATATAAAAATAAAAAGCCTATCCTATAGATCAATATAAACGATAACATTAAATATTTCTTAATGAACAATTATATAGTATGGGAGGGAGGTAATAAGAAACAGCAGGTATTATGAATCTTTTATCTTAATTGAAGTTTTGTGAAAGAATGTATCTTTGTAAAGATCACATAGAAACGTGCATGATAGCGGTACGAAGTTTCATAAATGACTAGGAATATGTACTTTGTTAGTACATCTTAGCAGATAATATTTTGTATGTGCATATACATTAATTGAGGCTACTGGGTTCAGTTACTTTTATAGAATTTATTATTGTTGATCTTTATTCTACACAATTTCTAAGTAATACAATATATAAAAGAATACATTTTTGTAGAATTAAATTCCAATGAATTTAAAATATAATGTAAAATACGAATAATTTCGGTCTTAAGGTGAAGATACTCTTTACCTAATGTACCTGTTAAAATTGCAATTAAAATATAATTTTATTTTGTTGTTATCTGTACAATTTAATTTAATACGCGATGATTTCTGTAATAGTAATTAAGAAATAGATTCTATTTTGCTCAAGACATGCCAACAGGAAAAGACAGGTTTATAAAACTGCTGATAGGTGTTTTATGACTTAGTTAAGTTATTCCATTATTCATTTCAATATATATTTCCTTATATATTTTATAACTTTTATTATCAAAACTAAAACTGTAATTGAAAAGAAAAATGAAATACAAGATTCTCACTATAAGTATTTACTATTATTTCGAATCTTTTAACACATTTAAACAATGACCACGGAATGAAACTGGATATCTCTGATGCAATATAAACTGGTAATAACATTATTTCGTGATATAATAATTTATACATTCTTGTTGCAATATTTTTAACTTTATATTTTTGTTATAACACTTGAATGAAAATTATATTTTGTAGATAATTGTGAAGTTTCTCCCTGTTTTAGCAGATCAATAATGGTCCAATACAGCATCCCAGTACTCTGTGGATACTGGGTAGAGAATGGGGAGAAAGGGGTGAAACACAGTGAAGCCCCTGTAGTAAGATAGAAGAGAAGCCAGAGAAAACATTTCAGAAAGAAGTAGTTAGCATTGAAAGCTTGTAAAAAGTGGTTCAATCAGAATACACATGATAAGGTAAATTCCAGCATTAAAAATATAATTACAGCTATAGTATTTTTTATTCTTTAAATTCATTCACATTAATGTTAAACATAATTTGTGATTTTTTTGTCTTAATTTCTGTGAATCTGTCAATGTATGTATTTTTCCTTAATGTGATTAAATGTTTTATTCTTAATTTTTCGCAGATATCTAAAATACACTTTGAGATGCGTGGACTTTTACGAGGCATTTTATATTGTGGACTATGGTATGGCAGTGTAATGGCTGGCTTTTTATTTATTGCTTGTCCTATGTTACCACTGTTATTCTTCAGTCCTCCGTTATTTCGAAAATGTAACGACCTCTTATTTTCCTGCTGGGAACTTTATTCCACAGTAAGTAAAAGATACTGCATTTTCATGCCTGCTTTTATAATTATTACATATATAAGTTAACAGTCATATAAATGTTTTAGGCTCTTTTAAAAGTGTTTGGTGTAAAAATTTTGGTATCGGGAGACCATATATCTCCAACTGAATCTGCTATACTTGTAATGAATCACAGAACACGAGTAGATTGGAATTTTTTGTGGGCTGCTATGTACCAGGCATGCTTACCCAGTATAGCAACTCATAGATTAAAATTTGTTTTAAAAGATCCTATTCGACACATTCCTGGTCCAGGTAATACAAAACATATAATTAAATGCATTTTTCACGTATAGTATTAAAGTGTTAGTATGTATTATTTATTTTGTTCCTTGTTTTTTTTTTTTTTTTTTAAAAAGAGCATACATCCCATGAAACGATATTGGAGATTTTAAAGAACTATTGTATAACAGGATGGATAATGCAAATGAATGGCTTCCTTTATATAACACGACGCTGGGAAGAAGATCAAAGTCGCCTATCGCGTACCCTTGATTATTTAGTAGCACTGGATAGACGGTCACAATTACTTATATTTCCAGAGGGTACCGATCTCACAAAAAATAGTAAAGAAAAATCAGACAGATACGCTTTGCAACATAAGCTACCACAATATTCGTTTACTCTTCATCCAAAAACAACAGGGTTCAGTTATTTAGTTCAACATCTTCAACAAGCAAACTACGTTGACGCTGTTTACGACTTAACGATCGCGTATCCTGATTATGTTCCGCAATCTGAACTAGATTTAATCAAAGGTAAATTACCAAATGAAGTACATTTTCATATTAAACGAATACCCTCGGCGAACATGCCAAGGCATGATTCGACATTAAGACGATGGTTGGAAAAAAGATGGTTCGATAAAGAAGAAGTTTTAAAACAATTTTATGACAAGAAATCATTTTCTGCTGATATCTGGCCTTTGACAAAACAATTTCCTTTGCAAGTCGCGCTATATTTTTGGAGCATTTTAACAGGTGACGCTTGATTATATTTCGAAATTTATTCCGATTTATTTTTGATAATGTTCTCTTCAAGAAACTTGTTTATTTCAGGTGCTGCAGTTCTTTTGCTTATTGTTTCACCGTTATTCCAATTATGGACATTTGTTCTATCATCTTTCTTTGTTGCATTATCATTTTTCAGTACTGGTTTTAATCAGGTTGAAACTGGATGGTATTGGTGTTGGAAAACTCACTTCCTTAAACAAAAACGTAGTTAATAAGATTTTTGTAAGTGGTATTTATTTCTTTAATGTCATTATAAATGTATTTAAAATTCAAAAATATTCATTATATTTATGAATTTTAAATATAACATAGTTTGTCTAGTCTTTAAATGTAAGTAGGGATTTTCAATTTTAACAATTTTCGGTATCACGAAAAATAACATTTAAATTAGAAATCGTAAGTGGTATGGCAAGAATTTAAATCAGAAAATAGTGACACTTGGGAACACTTATTTTATAAAGTAAAAAGTATTATACAAAACTAAATGAGTTAATATAAAAGAAAAATTGATCTTCAATATTGACTGAATACTTTATATTCTATAATATAATAACGATACTAGTTCAAAATTATAAAACAAAGAATTTTATATAGTACGTGAACTGGAAAGAATAACGAAACTGCAAAAATTATAGTGGATTTCTTTTAACATTGTAACAAACATTAACCTTCTGTAGATTACCCTTCTTTTATAGAAATTTTACATTTTGGATTTCTAGTTACAGTGAAGAATTATATATACTGTAACAATAATTTTTTTTGCCTGAGGAATTATTGATGTAACTACAATTTGCTACTATATACTTTTTAACAGTATAAGTGCATTGTATATTCTTATTTTACATATATATGTATTGTGAACTACGGAGGGTTAAAATTAAAATCAAATTAACAAATTTTTTAAAGAAAAATATTTTGCTAACTCAGATTTTATGAGGTGTTATCCTCTTAATACGTTCAGTATTAATACTTATACAGTGTGTGTTTCCATATTATCGATATATTTTTTCAGAATCAATCTAATAAAGGAGTATATTAAAAAAAAATTTCTGTTGCAGTAAACTAGAGTCGATATTAAATTCAATTTAGAGACTATACATAAATGAACGATAAGGTGTTGTTAGGGATTTTTATATATAAACATTTTTCGTTACTTTAATAAGTAAAATCGATTCTGAAAATATCTTCCAGTAATTTGAAAACATCTTGAGTGTAAAGCTCGTATATGAAATTTTATGTAAAAGTAGTTACTTTATACAGATTTAAATGATATTGGTAAGACTATAAACATAACATTAGAATTTTATTCAACAGAATTGATTTAATGCCAGGAGAAGACATTTTTAAATTGAATATATTACAATAGTACCTTATACCTATAAGATCGTGTTGTACAAATATCTGTGAGAGTTTACTGTTCAAAATATTATAATACTTTTTATTCAATGTAGTTAGTATTATGATGGATTTTAGAAAAAGGGTTCTTGTTGTGTTCTAATAGTAGAATACAATAACACAACTAAAAAATGTGTTGGTAGAATCTAAACTGTTTGTAAATGTGTACGTTCCAATCGTAAAATGATACTTTCTTTAGATATGTATAAAATATAGACTATTTTGAACATTTTCCAAAGAAGGAAACGAGACAAACATGTCGGCAAACTTCAGATTTATTCGAAGCCTAGAGTTTTGCTCATCACTGAATACAGTAGCCATCTATTTTAATTTATGGAATTAAGATTTTACATTTTGAATTTTTTTCAAAATTCACAGTGTAATTAGTGCCTCATTATTTCATATTCTGAAGTATAAATGTACATACATATTCGTTTAATAAAATTATTTTGCAAGAAATTACAAGTTTCCGTAAAAGATAAAGTATGAGATATTTACGCACTTACAATGTTAGGTAATTTAAAAACTTTACAATCTTTTATTTATTAAATAAGTCAACATTTGACGAACAACTTTACAATGCTCCCTATGTAACAAAGTATTATAACCCGAAAAATGCTTTAAACAGAAGCAAAATGTACGTAAAGTGTATAAACGGAACGTGTAGGACAAGATATAATTTTAGATAATTTGGTTTTTATTAGTAGCTGAAAATCTATTTTTCTATAGTTGGTAGAAAAGTTATAAACGTAAGTAAAAGTGAATTCATGTGCCAAAGAAATATGTGTATTAGTGTATGTTCTAAAGAAGTGTCGATTAAAAATATTTGTGGTTCTCAATTAATATAAGAGTTCTACTTCTATTAATTTCCAGAAAAATAAATGTAAATAAAAAAAAGTAATTAAATCATTTCGATGTATTCCATGCTGTGACTAATGTAGAATTTTATCATTGTATAAATGTTATATAGTTATATACAATATTGTATAGATCGAATAGCATCATGTGAATAAATACTGTGGATAAACGTAAACATCTATAAAACTTATACTTTGACAGTATTTTAAAACTATTTATTTTGAAATTAGTTACATAACTTCATTATTGGGGTACCAAGTATTCCAATTAATATTTCTTTTTATAAAATGGATTAATTGGACTAGGTATCGGACTTGCTTTCAGTACACCTACTAGCGGCTTCCTGTTTGCGTCAAATGGAATAGATGGACTTTTTCGAAGTTGTAAAATGTATTCAGATGTATGTTGAGCAGTATTACGTTGAAGTGCTATTTTCACTCGCTTTTTCGCATTCAAGTTAGTATTTACTTTACGATGCTCTTTCAAACTAATCTTTTCATTCTTCCATTTCTTTAACGCGGGAAGCAACCACGTTGGTTGTTCACTGATGGTGTTACTCTTTTCAAGTTTCTCAACAATTTTTACATGCGGTTCTTTCTTTTCATCGTTCAATGACGTACGTATCGACGAAGTATTTATATTATCGGAAACATCCCATTTGCCACAAACGTTGATATTTGTCATCTTTTTTTTTTTAACTGGTGTATCAACATTTAATGTATTTACAGAGATGGTTTTGTTTTTTTTAAATTTCGTCTTTTTACTTCTCTTAGTTGAAAGCGAGGTTTCTTTTTTTAATTTACAATTATCATTTTTTACATCTATTTTACAACTACCGCGAACTTCTTCCTTTGATTTAAATTTTTTTTTTTTTAAACGATTCTTCTTCATATTTTCAATTGTATCTATTTGCGATATGG